ACAAAAATGACGTCAGGAAACGACACTGGCCATTTCATTGGGATGTTTGTAAAGCTCAGTTTTTTATGTATCTTGCTCTGTTAAACGGAATGAGTGACTTTACGTAGGCCATACTGGATTAACACCATGCATCTCCTGTCAGCGGGAAAGCCACGCCCCCAGCTATCACAAGACCCCGACCAAGTCCATAATTGACACCCTCTCATTAGCATGTTGTGCAGAGGAAAAATAAATGTGGAACTACATTCAGAAATAAATGAGTGATCAAAGGAAAATAAATAGGATGAGTTTAGCATTTCCTTAAACATTTAACTTAAAACTGAATTTATTTGCCTACTTTAAAATCACATGTTTAATTATTTCTATATGTATTTAAACAAGAATTTGTGTATTTATACAGACATTTGTTTATTTATTTGCATATTTATTTATTTATTTGTGTATTTATTTATTTATTGTTTTTGCAGGTTTCGTCCTCCATACTAGCAAAGCTACCCGATGATAAAAAATAACATGAACGAGTAATGACATAACAAATTAGATCGTTACGTTAAAATAATTTATTAAAGAAATAAAAATAAATTACAGAGAAGAAAAAAAGACGAATGTCTGTTTGTTTGCGAGTAGTTTGTTAATAACGGGGAAAAAACAATGTATGCAAATCTGGTCGTATTTTGTAACGATCAGGGAACAAATTTGGTCGTGTTCGGAATTATTTGAAGTAAAGAAATTGGGTGTTGATATTGCTTTGCTAGCTGAGTAGCCTACATAGTCTGTTATAAAATACTGATAAAGAGAGCACATAAAAGAAAACAAAACTTGGTCAATGGTCAAAAAACAAGCAAACAAACAAAAAACAGTAAGTCCCATCAATTCTGCCCCACATCTGAGACAACAGGGAAAAAAATGGCTTCAATGTAAGAATGAAATGTGCTGTCATGGTGCTGACCCTGCAAATAACAACAACGACTGTATGTCCAGTTCATGCACAGCAGCTTGAATACAATCAATACATTAAATGGCCAGTCCTTCAGCATTTCATTTAATTCTTTCCTCTCTGTTTTATTGATTTAAAAAACAAGTACAGAAGATGAATCTTGAGCGTTTTAGCTTTCAAATGATGCATAGTTTATGATAGCTAATTGAATATTTTTTTATAAAACAATGGTAATTAAAAGTACAGACATGCCTAAACGCGCCCTTCAGGCCAGTGTGGGTTAAGAGGTTTAGCATTTTACTTAACAAATACAGTTAAACATAGCAAGAGTGCTCACGTGATTTGTAAAACACTTGTGAGAGGAAGGTCAACGACAGACAACATGTCGCAATCTTGGGTCACCCAACCACTATATTACAACATTAAGTTGATTTTTTTTATCAGTACAAATAGCACACTTATGCTACATGACGAATTTTTAAATGAGTGCAAAAATCCAATATGTTGAAGTTAAACTTCTTTTCCCCAAATTATAGCTTCTAGATTTGCAGGAAGCTGCAGGTTTTGCAGATCAGCGGGACAAGCGTGGATCAGGGGATTCGATTTCTTTCACTCATCAAGATTTTGGTAAACATCTTCAGTGTCGTACCTATTCTGAAGACCTGTAGACTATAGGGAAGAATGAAAATAAAAGTTAGGCTATAACAAGCACTTTTTTTAATTTTAAAATGTCATGAACATTTCTAACTTAAAACTCTGCCAGGTACATAGAAATTGTTAGACATTATTGTGCATTTGCTAAAAATGTGCTTGTGTGTTTTAAAAGAATAGTCTGAAAACCTTGTCTTGGGAAACTTTGTAGTGCGCCTGAATTTTGCCACCAACTAAGTTCCTCTTGGACAGTTCTTGCACCACTACACTGAAGCCTAGCTGCCTAGCTGAGTCCCCCTGAGAAGAAAGTAATATTTTTATTCAGCAAGGATACATTTATTTGATCAAAAGTGAGAGTGAAGGCATTTATAATGTTACAAAAGATGTCTATTCCACTTCACTACATTGCATCACATGACAAATAAAGAACCTTAACCTTAAACTCAGATAAATGCTATATAAATATTTTCTGAAGGATCATGAAGACTGGAGTAATGGCAGCTGAAAATTCAGCTTTTACATCACAGGAATAAATTACATTTTAAAATGTATTCAAATGGAAGACACTTATTTTAAATTGTAATAATATTTCACAATATTACTATTTCATGCAGCAACATAGCATACCAGACAACAGAGGGCAAACAATACCTTGTTCTCACTTTTACTCCATCTTCTTTTAAAGACTGATTTGAATTGTCCAGTCTGTTGAAAAAAAAAAATCTAAATTGGATTAACTCCATTAAACTTTCTTTAAAAAGTATTTTGAGGATGTAGTGACATTTTGTAAAGAAATAAAAGGAGTTGTGTTACATAGAATTAGGTACAAAAGCTAAAAGGTCATATTTGGTGCATATTAGTGAAGTGAGTGACACACACAGCAGTGAACACACACACACACACCCACACCCAGGGAGCAGTTGGGGGTTCGGTGCCTTTCTCAAGGGAACCTCAGTCGTGGTATTGAAGGTGGAAGACAGCGCTGTACATTCACTCCCCCCACCTACAATCCCTGCCATTATGAGACTCGAACCCACAACCTTGGGTTACGAGTTCGACTCTCTAACCATTAGGCCACGACTTCCCCCAGTACCTTAAAGGTACATATTAGTACCTTGGTGTATCTACTGCACCAATGACAGCTTTGTACCTTTTCTCCTGAAAGTGTAACATGGCATTACTTTGAAAAGGTGTGTACTCTACTGTAATTGTACCTTTATGCAGATGATGATGACCAGGACAAGGAGGCCGTACACAGTCAGCAGGACTAGCAATGTCAACAACAGTGCTTGAGAGACATTTAAGCCCGTCTCTAGATACAAACACATCATGATACGTGTCAATTATGAGCAGAACGGTCTGGGGTTGTGCTGAATCTTCTGCTAGTTCTTACCTGAGACTTTCAAAGTGGTTCCCTGTCCGATTGCCTGCGCCCCATTGTGAGCCACATCCAGCAGAGCCGCTGCACAGTAATAAACCCCAGAGTCTGCTTCTGACAAAGAGCTGATTTTCAGGCCCTGGTGCTCCAGTGTGTACCTCAATGAGGGGCTTTTTAAATCAAGCTGGTAGTGAGAGTTTTTCCGGAACACATACCAAGAGATTTGAGGTAGGCTCTTTGGACAGCTGGACACGGTGACGGAGCATGGGATAGAGACGGACTGTTGCTCTTTTTTTCTTATCAGCTTTGTTGGCTGTTGGACGTCTACCTTACATCCCCTGACTGTAGAAATTCGGAATATATTTTGTTTAAAAAATAAACTGCTGATATTTCATATTATTAATATTTCAAGACTTCAATTCAATTGTATAGTGCTTTTCACATTTCAAAGCAGCTTTACGGAAAATGCACATGTCTACATTACAATTTAGAGTGATCTTTTATCAGAAGTGAATGTGTCCAAGTAATGTTCATTTCACAAATGAACAGTTCAAGATAATATACAGTTATCCAATATGAATTAATTTTCATTGATTAAGTCACATACACAGATAAAAAGGTGTAGCCTGGATTTATTCTGAAGCAATTTTCACTGAGAAATTGCTAGTCAATTTTACAAATAATTGCAAAGAAATGGCAAAAACACATTGATTTAAATTTGAAATTTTGAAGACTATAATGAGCATTTTCTTGTAAAACGTATTCCAACAATCTTTGTTTAACTTACAACAAAAAACTTTTTTTTTTTACAATGTACAAGACGTTTAAATAAGTAGTATATGATAGCTTTAAAAACTCTTCCTCTAGACTAGAACAATTCAATTTCTGCTCACCTGTGCTAAAAATAAGAAATGCGATGGTGAAGAAGAAAGCAAAGTTCATGTTGATGGCACGGTTGTTGTGTGGCTCCTTTTCCTTTCATTAATGTCTCTCTGTGATTGATTTTTCAGTTTGCTAGATAGACATGGGAAAAAAGGTCTCACGCCTAACTGAGAAATAAAACCAGAAATGTGAAAAATGAGAAGTGACATAGACCCGTCCCCACAGTTCTTTCTTCCTTGTGTGAGACAGTTTGTCACCCTGAATCTACTGCTTTCAGTGACACGTGAGTAATGTGGTAAATATTTCTGCTTATGCCTGTGAAAAAGATAAAGTAAGTGGAATAATTATACAGATCTATCTATCTATCTACAGCACAGTAGGCTACACAATCATATAGAAATTTAAATTACTTATTTTTTTCTTCGCTTTACAATGTTATGTTGATTAGTAAAAAAAAAAATTAATAGTAACTATGTTTACCATAGTAATTTTAGTAAGGGAGCCTCAGTGGGCGTGGTCAGAGTCGGCTCGCGGCCGCATTGACTACACTTCCCAGCATTCATTGTGGTTTCGTTGTTGGCCACGTCACGTCCACCGGCCACGTCGCCCCTCATTCGCCATATTTGGTGGAGGAATGCTCTGGAGGAGAGCGGCATTGAGCCGGTTCACAGTTATCGCACTCACCCCGAGCTCTCTTTAACACCGCTAAAGTCAGCCAGAGAGAGAAAGACATCATGAACATCTTTAGGTTGACTGGAGATCTGTCTCATCTAGCTGCCATCATCATCCTGCTGCTCAAGATATGGAAGAGCAGGTCCTGCGCGGGTGAGCTCAACAAAATATACTTTTCTCGTATATTTAATACTTAATATGTGTGTTTGCGAACGATAGAGGAGACTTTAGACTGGGTTGAGCTGTCGGAAAAGTTTTGTGAATTTATATTCAAGCAAGAAACATGAATTGAAGTGCAGTTTGTGTAGCGTTCAAGCTAGTAACGTTAGCTTAGCTTGACTTGAAAGCTGTTGAAGGGTAGATTTGGGTTCAATTTGACAATAAAAATTGTGTTTAAATGGACGGATCTGTATGTATTTAACATGCTGTGACAGTTAATGCTTTGCATATTGATTTGAAGGCTATCAAACATCACAGGCTTGTTCTAAGTGACTGAAATAACTGAAGACTTCAGGCCTACTTACTAACTGCAGTTTAATAGTGGATATATATATATATATGAATGACTATGCAATTAATTTGACTGTTTAGAGGACAATTCGCACCTTCATATGTTGCTTTGTGAGAATCAAAAGGGAGTTTTTTCATATGCTTGATGTCATCATTTTTAATTTCTCCCTCCTTTTATTTGCCATACATTCCTAAAGTGCATTGTATTCCTTTCTTTGACGTGGCAGTGCATGTAGTTATGTGTGGACTTTGCAAGGATGGGTCATCTGGGTTGTCTAGATGCATTTACATCAGACTTTTGATTTACAGAGATATAGAGAACATAGATGCATCTCTTAAACCTTTTATGAACTCAGTATTCAGTATTGCTGTGTTCTCTTATTTATTTCTATTACAGTCTCCATATTTTGACCAGACTCTGTAGTTTAAAGTTAAAACACTTTAATAATGGAGTTGTTTCTTACAAACATGCAGCTCTTCACTTCATAAGACATTTATTGATGGACTGGAGTAGAATGGATTACTTGTGGATTATTGTGATGTTTTTATCATCTCTTTGGACTCTCATTCTGACGGCACCCATTCACTGCAGAGGATCATTGACGAGCAAGTGATGTAATGCAACATTTCTCCAAATCTGTAACAAAAATCTTTGATACCCTAAAGGGGAGTGAATTTTTTTCATTTTTTGGTTGAGCTGTTACTTTAGGAAAGGTACCTGTGTGAATAAACTATTTATCTAAAGTAATCCTTTAACATTAATGCATGCATTAGTTGCAGTTTAAGCACTGGTTTGGCTTCCGTTTTTAGAATTAGGCATGTTTTAGGATTAAAAAAAAAAAAAAATCCTCTTCCTGCTTCAATTTCTGATATCTTTTGTCTGATCCACAGTGCTGAAAGGAAAGAAGCTGAGTCTACCAGCCTAAGTGCCAAAGAACAGAGAGCTGTGTTTCCATCAGACTTATAGAGGGGCACAAGCCAATGATGCCACTGCAAGATGCCCAAGACAAAGAACGCATAACGCCAGTTCACTGATTTATTTCTCTCCGCCTGGACACCACAACCATCCCCTTACAGAAACGAGGACGTTTTTTGCAAACTTTTCTTCTGTCTTTAGCGTCTTGCAATGCTTTTTTTATTGCTATCGAAAAGAAAAAAAATTTCTATATACAAGGTGTATTGAAATATCGAACAGTGCATTGTACACATTAACAGTTAAATGCATCATTGTAAATTTGTCCATGATTGGAAATGACTCCCAGTGTCGAATAAGTTTGTGGTTCTTTCCTGACTTAAGAAGGGTAAGAAATGAAATGTGTATATTCAAGAATTCAAATTACGATATCCCTATTCCTTTTCCCCCCACATGTGGTTAAAATCGTCCTTTGCCTCAATGAACGATTTTGCCACCACTGAAAATTTTCTAAAAGAAAGTCCTTTTAATTTCCCCCCCCCCCACATTAATGCCTTATTTGTATTTCAGTTTATGTACATAACCATTTTTGTTGATGCCCCCATAGCAACGAGTCAACTGTAAATAAGAGCATTTCATATTTAATTCAGCACAATTCTCTTTGTGTGACTCGTATCATTTTTTTAGGATGTCAACATTTATCAATGATATGCGATATTACAGCAAGGTTGTTTAAATATTCAGTTATTACCTGCAAACATCAGCTTGTTGAAATGCAGTAATTTATGGTAAGACCATTAAATCTCGTGGTGTGGATACTGTCAAAGCACATTTTGGAGTGAGTTTTGTAGCATAGGAATTTTTTTTTAATGGACTGCAGCTTGTTTTCTTTAAGTTCAGCATCCCCAATGTTTTCCCCTCTCGAGTCATTCTTGTAGGGTTTACAGTTATTTTTTTAGTTTTTACATGTCTCCAATAAATATTTTAAGGGACATGATTTTGTGTTATTCCTTTGTGTTTTTTTTTTTAATCGTTTGTCTAATTTCCATTGACAATGTTACTTAATTTATTGCACTTGTTCCATGCAATCTCTCAATAATTATGGTCATAAAAACTGTATGCATAATTATGAAAGAGTGCAAAATGCTGTTCAGATGGAGCAGTATATCACATTACAGAATTTTTTCCAAAAAAAACCTGTTCAAGTTAAATGAACGACACTATAAAATACAACATTTTCCCTTTTTATATATACATTTATTTTTCACAGTATAAACCTGAACACTTCAGATCTGTGACTGTACAGCCAGAGAAAATACATCAATTAATAATTAATTCAGCTCCAACTACAAAGCACAGACAGGCCATATGATCGCTTGACCATGTACAATGAACACATCTCTTGTAGTCACCAAGCATTTACCACTGATTCTTGAGTACTGGGAAAAATATATATCAAGGTATTATTTTGGATCAACAATCTATTCGGTGTGTTTAGAGGTATTTGCCTATGTTTCGGTACATCATCTGCTTCTTTCTCACAAAATATACTTTGCCTTGCCTTCATTCAATATGAAGCAACACTGTCAGATGCAAAAATAATGTGCAAAATATTTGTTATAAGTATTTACAAATCTAGGATTCACTTCACAACTGACAGACTATTTTAGAGTGTTTAAATAACCAGATTTTGCATATCGCACAAATTGAGTGGGAAAAGTAAATAAAAAAGGTTTACAATATTTTACACATGCGGTTTAGGTAAGATTGATAATATAAAGTCATCATTTGTATATAATAAAGAGAAAATTGAATAATACATGTGAGCAGTGTGCAAAATATATAAAATATAATTGAAATGTATAATATAATATATTACATCAGTTGTCAGTTATCTGATGATCCTATGGCTTACTCCATAACATTTACCCTGTCAAAAAATTTCCTGAAGAAAAAATCTGGATCTGATTTTGAGAATTTTCTTTTTTCCCTTTTGTTAGAATGACACTGAAACTCTTCTTCATTAGTTTTGGCCATGCAGTTATACTTCTCAGCTCTGACAAGATGTTAGTTTATCTCGAATACTATCTTACAAGATTTTTCAATGAATCCCAAATGTACTATTTTTGAAGCGGATCCCAATGCCTGTTTTGTAATAATTCTCTTCGTATGTAGATTCTATATTCACAAGTGTACATTTTCAAATTGTAAACCTGTTTTTGTAGTATTTTCACAAGAGATAAAAAATGATTTGCTTACAATTTCACTGTACAAGTCTCACTTCACAAGAAAGCACTCAGAACATGTACAATTCGCATGGCCTACACATTTTCTACAATATTTAATGTTTCATTTTTATTATTCTGTATAATGCCCTCTTCTTTCTTTTTCCTTTATTATTTATTATGATTCTATTTTGAGCTATGGCAGGGGGTCTCCAAACTCGGTCCTGGAGGGCCCGGTGTCCTGCACAGTTTAGCTCCAACTTGCCTCAACACACCTGCCTGGAAGTTTCTAGTGTACCTATTTTTGATCGCGATAAAAAAAGTAAAAAAAAAAAAAAAATTCCTATGTGGATAGAATATTAACCCTATAATTCGTCTAAATCTCTAGTTATCAATTTCATTATTATCAATTATCCTTAACTGATTAATTCCAGAGTGGGAATATAAAAACACGAATAATTTTTTTTTTTTTTTTAAATAAATACAATAATGGCAGGGAAAGTCGCAGGACATGTTTTGTCTCATCATGTCTCAAGATCAATCGTTACGTTACGCCGCGTGACGCCACCGCGCGATTGTCTAGTCAACAGAGGCTCAGCTGTTGTGGGGCGACGGCGGGAAAAAAAAAAGATCTATTCCAACGGCCGGTTCCAGGGAGGGACTCTGGACTTCCGCGGGATCTGTGTTTCGGAGAATATATAACGGGAATATCGTTCTTCAGGTATAAGCTGAGACACGTTGGGTTGGCATAGCGGAGGTTTAAATCTAGGACAGTCTCTCTCGAGAGGAAGGAAAATGGAGCTGGATGACGGAGTTGTGTACCAGGACGACCCGGGGACATCGGCGGTCATGTCGGAGAGGGTCTCGGGCCTGGCCAACTCCATCTACCGCGAGTTCGAGAGACTCATCCGCAAGTACGACGAGGACGTGGTGAAGGAGCTGATGCCGCTGGTCGTGGCGGTGCTGGAGAACCTCGACACCGTGTTCGCCGAGAACCAGGAGCACGAAGTGGAGCTGGAGCTCCTGAAGGAGGACAACGAGCAGCTGATCACACAGTACGAGCGCGAGAAAGCGCTGAGGAAACACACCGAGGAGGTGAGTGGAGGAGATCTTCGAGCTGGGCATCTTTGTTTTCTTGCAGCAGCAGCACTCACGTGCGCACGAATGGCTTTGTCATGCCTTGTTTAGCCAGTGCTGCCCTTTGAGGATGAATCAGCCTTGGGCCTTACGCAAATAAAGAAATGAAATATGCATTTTTAACGTGCTGCAGTTCATTATTATGCCCTCTGATGGTCTGTCTGGTCCTTGCTGGTGGTTAGAACTTAATATACAAGCGGTTTGTTTAATAGAAATGGCGGACTAATGTTTATTGCGTGCTTGTAAATAAAGACAAGAGATTGAAAACATAAAACAAGCAAACAAACAACATGTCAGGCGTGTTTTTGTCTTGCAATGCGCGCAACAGAGGAAGATGCTTGCCTCGGTGTCGCATGGGAGAGACCGGGGCAAGTTGTCACAGTGGCAGAACTTTGGCTGTAACTTTCTTCCAGTAACGCATTAATTAATGTTAATTCGAAGTTATCTGGTCTTTAATAATGTTCTCAAAACGTTAGCGCGAAAATGTTATTTATAAGTTGTTCGTAGAACGTTTTTTTTTCCTGAAACATTTTAGTTGGATGTTCATCTAACGTTTTTTTTTTTTTTAAATGTTACCTATAAGGTAATGTACCTATAAAGTTTGCTAAATGATCAAATGAGACGTTCCCTTAACGTTTGCGTAACCAAGAAAAAAACTAACATTTTTGTAAACATGTTCAAACATATTCAGAGAACCTTCAGAAATAACGCTTTCATAACTTATAGGGAACATTAGCAAAATGTTTTGTTTGATGGGTAGCTGTAAGGTTTTGATTCAAAAGTCCAATAGTTTTTAGCAGTGATTTTGTATGTGGATTTCAAACCCCTGAAACATTTTAGTTGGATGTTCATCTAACGTTTTTAAAAAAAAAAAAATGTTACCTATAAGGTAATGTACCTATAAAGTTTGCTAAATGATCAAATGAGACGTTCCCTTAACGTTTGCGTAACCAAGAAAAAAACTAACATTTTTGTAAACATGTTCAAACATATTCAGAGAACCTTCAGAAATAACGCTTTCATAACTTATAGGGAACATTAGCAAAATGTTTTGTTTGATGGGTAGCTGTAAGGTTTTGATTCAAAAGTCCAATAGTTTTTAGCAGTGATTTTGTATGTGGATTTCAAACACCTTTTTCAAAATCCCAATATAATTTTTTGTAATTTTTTTTGTGTCGTCAAATTAGGCAGGTTTGTAAAAATGAAATTTAAAAAAATTGTACTAATCACAATATTTGTTGACCATGACCATTCTGTTTCATGACTTTTAGGCTAATAAGCCTACAATAGGGTGTTTAGTGGCAGTTTTCTTTGTGACAACTTACCCCATATAATGTGACAGCATGTTCAGTGTGAACTGTATTTTTTTCCCTGAGGAATAATGGTGGAAATAATCAATAGCCTTTTTTTTTTTTTGGTAGGCAAGACTTTATGTATGTTTAATAAAATTTAAAAAATAAACCAACCTTGATAAATAATTACTAGAGTCAAAAAGTGTCATCTAGTCCAAGTAACGTTAGGGATGTTCATTTCGGTTATTTTTCCTATCCGACAACCGACGCTCGTTAACCGATTATTAACCGACAAGATTATTTTAAATTTGAATTGAATTAAATTAGAAAGGATAAGTGTCTGAGACCTGTTAAAAGTACTAACATCTGTTTCCCGGCGATTCAAAAAGCAGAAAACAACAGGATTCACATAGTCATCATATCACATCATGCACCTGCAGCGCTTCTGCGAGCGGAGAAAAACATAATAAAGCTAGGCTATAGGCCTATATCTATAACGATAAATAGACCTATACGAGAAATATATTTTTACTTTCTTAATAAATTAAGAAAACGAAAGAAAAACTGTGCAACAAGTAGCCTAATATTCAGAGTTTCGGTTCATTTTTGTGCTGCGCGAAAGGAAACCAGACGACAGAAAGCGGCATCCTATTTTTCTTTAGGCTTATTTTACAAAAGCACAAAGATTTGTTTTTATTGTGAATGTACACAAATAAAGGCAAACATTTTACAATTCAGATTATCTTTAGGACTAAAAGGAGTAGTTTCTTCCTCTGTTAGAAGGAAAAAATTCAAGTGATTGCAGTCAGTCAGTCAAACATATGGAAAAAAACACACACTGCTCAGTTTAAATATGTATAGTAAAATCTGTGCTGTTAAGTGTTATCACCGTGAATGATGTTATGCAAACCATTTTGTTTTACGTGGATTTGGAACGCGCGAGTGAAGTATTTTGTGTGGAATGAGAGACGCAACAGTGGTTTCAGTTTCGTTTTAGCCTAAATGAATTCGTTTAGGCTTGTCGTTTAGCTATAGCTTCTTATATTTTTAATTCTTGTTCTTTTCTAAATACTGTCAATTGAAAGGCTTTATTGTGGAGTGAGGGGAACTAAAATAGCCTAGCTATGTTTACAGTGTTTATTATAATGTTTGTAAACATTTCATGTCGGCATTAGGCCTATTTCTAAATGAAATGATAAAATGCGACTTAGACGTGACTTATGTTTTTTTCCCTCTAAAAAAACTTTTTTTTTTATACGCGTAGCGTATTTCAACCATGCAGCAAACCTTTTTAAATATTTTGATAAATTACTAAAAAAATAAAATAAATTACTTTTTAAACCGTTTAACGGATTGTATTAATCGGTCAAAATTCTTCACGGTAGGTTAACGGTTAACCGGTTAAAATGAACATCCCTAAGTCCAAGTCTTCCATATATGGCAGGATTTTGCCAGGCACAGACAGATGCAACAGTCTGTCGTCATGCATGGAAACATAGTGCTTTTTTCAGAGACTTTTTTTTACATTAAAGGGGTCATATGATGCGATTTCAAGTTTTCCTTTCTCTTTGTAGTGTTACAAGCTGTTCATGAATAGATACGATCCCTAAAGTTGCAAAGACTAAAGTCTCAAAACCAAAGAGATATTCTATATCAAAGTTAAGACTCTGCCACACTCCCCTAAAACGGCTCGTTCTAACACGCCCCCACATATCTAGGTCACTATGTGGGAATATTTGCATAATGCGCCCAAATGTGCACGCAAAGAAAGGAGGCGTGGTTTCAGTAACCGCAGTTAGTGTTGAAGCAGCATGTTAATGATCTTTAAAAAAGCATCATATTTATATACCCTTTAAACCTTTGAAATTGTATTGCGTGCGTCATTAGTTTTAAGTTACGAACCTTTCATAGTTGATGTGTGTGAGTAAATTCTTTGATGTGACTCTAATCTGTTTTGGAAATCAGATTACACTGCATTGTACAGTTCTCAACATATGTAAGACCGACTTTGGACAGATTAAGGCTGCTCAGTGGCTTTATGTGTTCCTGCCACAGTGACAGTTAACTGGGATTATGAGCAATATGTCTGGCACATTCTACAACCAAAACACAAATGAGCCATGAGCTGCATTAATCCCTGTGAGTACTGATCTGGATACATCCTATTATGACAGACAGATTTCACTTCCAACAGCAGAGTGACATAAGGCTGTGGTCAATATTCAATAGTGGTGAACATTGATCTTTCACTCACGTTTCAGCTCACTGATATACTAGAGAAACTTTTAAGACTATATAGGATCTTGATCGGGTTTCAGGCATAATGCATTAAATTTTCATAAAATTGTAAAGTAACACATGATTGAACAAATATGTTGTCTCAAACCAGTGTTAATATTATTTATACAGTAATCTTGTATGTATGTTAAATTAACTTTGTATTTTCAGTTTATTTTAATTTTGCTTTAAGTTTTTGTACATTTTTTGTGCTTTTGTTATATTATGTGCTATTGTCATTTTTATTAGTTAAAAAAAATTAGTTTGAGCTATTTTAGTAATTCAGCTTGCACACATTTTATCACTTCTAATTTTCTTAATTTTTACATTTATATTTTTTAATCTAAAATGTATATTTTATTTTATTTTTCAATTTCTGAAAATTATTTTGAATAGTTTTAATTTGTTAATGATAAGTCTCAAGCTGCGAGTGTTTTATCACTTCTAATTTTCTTAATTTTTACATTTATATTTTTTAATCTAAAATGTATATTTTATTTTTCAATTTCCGAAAATTATTTTGAATAGTTTTAATTTGTTAATGATAAGTCTCAAGCTGCGAGTTTAAACTTATATATAGTGTCATCCCTTAAAGTCCGTGTAAAGTCAATATTAAAGGTGCAATAAGTGATTGTCTTTAGAAACATTTTTTTGTTATGCTGGTTGAAAGTCTCTTCACATCGTGATAGCAATCTTTAAGTTAAGTGGTCTAAATGTATTTATATATTCTGTGGAAGTAGGGCTGCACAATTAATCAAATTTCTAATCGCAATTACAATTATGGATGCCACAATTACGTAATCTTTCATAGCGGCAATTAATCGTTCACAGTCCACTTATGTTATTCTGCACGCTTAAGATGTTTTTTTTCTTTCTACATATTATCTTAAGGGTTTTTCCATAGTTTTAGTTTTAGTATAACATTATAATACCATTCGTATTTTTATAATTTAAAGAAGAAACCAATCCAATGTTTTAACCTGCCTGTGAACGTATGTATTGGCATACCTCTGCGCACCCTGTTCGCGCAGACAGGATACGTCATCAGCGCATTCACGCATGCTGTGCAGACAGAGCGAGAATGGCAGACAAACAACAACAACCCGATCTTCCTTCCCGGTATTGTAGTACATTTAAAGTTTTCTCACCGGTAAATGACACATGATGTAGTCCAGCGGTTCCCAATTCCTGGCCTTGCCCGCCTCCCCGCTCTGCATATTTTGCATGTCTCGCTTAGTTAACACACCCGATTCAGATAACCAGCTCGTTAGATGTGAGCTACGTGCATGAACTGTGTTCCGACTGATATGATCCCTACACAGTGTTCATTGCTCCTTACTCCCTGAGCAGGGGAAATCCGTTGAAGTTTACTTCACTTCGGAACATTCATTCACGGATTTGCGCTGTGCTTGTCTTCACACACAGACGAAACTTACTAGAGAAGTGTGTGCGAGGACTGTTATTGGGAACCGCTGATGTAGCCTATTGTAGTAATGTTGTCTCTGGTATTCTGGTCTGTGAGCTTATATGCGTTAAGGGGGCGTGGCTTTGGACTGAGATTGCCGGGGAGGGTGGGACGATGGCTTTCAGTGCTATCAGGCTAAAGTTAGCATTTTCTAAGATGATCTACGGCACCTTTAAATGTGTGTTCTTAGTTTATCACACCCAAGCGGCAACCTCCCGCTCTTTCTCGTGAAGCCAACAAGGAAGTGACTTAAACTATAATTCATCAACTGGCCGCTAGAGGCTGGCTGCAAAAGAGAGTCAATCCCATAGACTCCCCATGCTAAAATGCCCAACTTTACAGCAGAAAAAAACATGTTTACAGCCTGGTTAAAAAAATTATTTTGGTCTAGCTAATTTTGCCCTTCATGACAACTGTGAGGGGGTGATTTTTTTTTATAACTCGTCCGTTTAAATTGTATTAAGCCTTAAAGTTCTGCATAATTAAGGGCGTGGTCACTTAAGTCACCGGCAAGCTAGGTGGGCGTGGCTTCAGCAACCTGCTCCCGCCTCTTTGCCCATTTTCAATTATCTGGGAGTGACATGCTGCCAAGATGGCGACGGCTGCCTCCGCCCACTTTTGAGCTTCAAAAATGCTCTTTGGAAATCTACGGGTGATATCACGGACACTACGTCCATGTTTTTATACGGTCCATGACTACATCTTTTATATCGTTATCGAAGACGATATATATATATTAGTACAGTTTATTGACTTAAGATGACATGACCCCTTGTTTCACAGAATATTTAGAAAAACAGTTTGACAACAGAATTTGTATATTATCATGTTGTTGTCTTGTCTTAAACTTCCTTAACTTTATAACTCAAACTGTGTGTTTGTGAGAGCTCTGTGTTGCACTGAAAATGAATGGGAATTGAATGTGACATGAACCTTATGTTTGTTGATCTCTATGCTCGGGGGGTCCGCTGAATGAGTTTTTGCATGCCAGTGTGACGGGAATCTAAAGTGACACCGAAACAGTTCCCCTTTATCGGATACTCACACTGCACCAGGCTCTCCAGGAGACCCCTGTACTCCAGACATGAAGCATGCGTTCTGTAGGGATTTACAGGAGAGAGATTCCAATTAGGGAAAATGCGTCAAGATATTACTTCCAGGTCATGGAGTCCTTTGTAGCGACCGGGTATAAAAACTCTTGCTGGATTCACACTGTATTTTGCTTGTGAAACTTACAGTTTTGTCAATCCATGATGCACTTTTTGCTGTTTTCATACACTGCCACTCAATAGTTTGTGGTCAGTGAGAGTTTTTGAAAGAAATGTATATTTTTATTCAGCAAATATGCATTAAATTAATCAAGTGTCAGTAAAGATATTTATTTATTTATAAGATTTCTGTTTCAAATAAATGCTGTTCTTTTGAACTTTCTGTACATCAGTTGTAAGCAGCACAACTGTTTTTTTGTTTCTTGAGCAGCAAATCAGCATATCAGAATGATTTCTGAAGGATCATGTGACACTGAAGACTGGAGTAATGATGCTGAAAATTACTGTATTTTTGATCAAATAAATGTGGCATAAGCAAGTTCTTTCAAAAACAACAATCATGTTGACAAAAATATTTTAAACATTTCATTTCAGCACATTTTTGTACATTAAACAATGTTGTTAATTTGCTATCACTAAATCATGTATCTGCATTATAACAACTGCTGTACTTTTTATATATCCACATCATCGACTATTGAAAAATGCATCAGCCACTTTGGTCAACCATATATCCATATTTCACGTTAAAGATTTTGGTTACATATTTTGGAGCTAGTTTATTAAAAGAAATTCTTAGAAAACTTTTCTGCCTTATTTGTGTCAGTCCTGATAGATTTGACATTTTAATCTTGTTCCTCAGCCTTTAAAAAGGCATAAAGACTTAAAAATAAAATAAAACTGAAGATAATGTCAGACTTCACATTTATCCTTTTCCTGATCCTATTTTTGGTCTATTCTACAACCTAGTAGAAATCATAAAGTGCATTTTCTGCTTGAAGTGTTGTAGCTTTTAGTCTGTTGAGTGTGTAATCAATATGCTAGCTAACTAAAGTTAATTTTATCAGATATACGCATATAAAAAAAAGACCAAAAATATTGATGACTCACCTTGAAAAAATTAAATTACAAATATCACCTACTGTTGATGTCATGATGTAACATAACTACATTCTGGAAGGCCTGTTAGCTGTTTAAAAGTAAATGTATTATGCATTGTGTAGTGACTCAGCTCATGGGAAATATGAATAATTAACCATAACTAGTTATAATTAATTATGAATATTTTAGATCCGCTGTAGATATTTAGCTGACCTCTCAGGGTCAACTGTCTTGTCAATTCTAAGAACGTTAATTTCCTGGTTAAGGGAAATAACTTTCTTACTGTACAATTCTACAAAAGCTTGTAGCATAAATCTGCATGATTAAGTGACTCCAGTTATAAGCAAACAATGAACCACGTCAAGTGTGATACAAGTAAGGTTTTATTAACTACATAAACACTTAAACTTGTTTTTTTTTTCTTTTTCTTTGTGTTTTCTGTGAGCAGAAGTTTATTGAATTTGAAGATTCCCAAGACCAAGAGAAGAAGGACTTGCAGAACCATTTGGAAAGCCTGGCATCACATTCCCGTCAGCTGGAGCTGAAGATCAAGAACTATGCTGACCAGAGTGAGAATCACCTGCTTTATTGCCTCTTCTCATTCAATCTGACACTTCCATGATCTGACCATTTTTTTAAACCTTCATACATATGACTTCTACATAGGGCTGCACAATTAATCGAATTTCTAATCGCAATTACAATTATGGATGCCACAATTACGTAATCGTTAAAAGCGGCAATTAATCGTTCAAAGTCCACTTATGTTATTCTGTGTGCTTAAGATGTGTTTTTTTTTTCTTTCTACAGGTAATCTTAAGGGTTTTTCCACTGTTTTAATTCTAGTTTTAATATAACATTATAACATTTGAAGCTTAATGCTATAGAAAAGCAATAAAAGTTTTTCAGTTAATGTTTTCAGCTTGTTTATTTTCATCGGTTGCTTCAAACAATGGTATTTATCATTCAATGTAAATTGTGATAATCGTAATTAATAATCGCAATTACAATGTCAAGGGAATAATCGACAATTATGATTTTTGTCATAATCGTGCAGCCCTACTTTTACATGTTATATGTCCATGCATCTGCTCTAAATGTCCTGCTTCTGTTTTAGTATAATAGCTATAGTCCATAGTTTTGTACACTTTAACTGTTATGTGAAGTATTGGTTAAGTGTTCTTCACTCATGGCTCATAATAGAGTACTGTCCCATCATTCAATCTGCTCTCTCTCTTCTCAAACCATTACTGACCCTATTAATGGATCATTGATAATGAACAGTGGCCAATTTGCACAGCAAAGATTTGACAATTTCTTTCGCTTCAACATATAGCTGTTTGATACCTCATGGCTGTGAGTCATTATTGCGCAGATTGCCACTAAAGTGAAGTAGTTGGGTGTTAGCTATCTTACACTAATGTGATTTGCAAGGGCTGTTTGCTGTTCATTTGCATCAGGATTCAACAGATTAATTTGCCGTATTGTTTTCTGTCCAAATTCTATTAGTATAACCAAAGTCCCTTTAAGGCAAGTCATGTCACTCGGCGGCCATCTTTGAAATGCCTCTCTGGCATGCAAGTGCAGCTCCTATCTCTTTGAATGGGGAAACCTCAAATTCTCCAAAACTGTTCGCTAAGCTTATGATTAAATTTCATATTTGAAATCACCAATGAAATCCGACAACAACGGTATCATAAATGTTGTTTATTTTGCTCAAATAGCGTTAAAAAAAGCTTATTTTTCAGACTAGATCAGCCAGTGCACATGCGCAGTCCTAACCGCACATCTTGGAGCCTTGACTGTTTCTATAGCAACCAGGACTTCCAATGGCAGCTGCAGTGATTAGCGATTGGCTCTTTTGCTCAGAAGGTGGGGCTTCGTTCGATAGAGCGGCCCAAGAGTGACACGTCTTGGTTATTCTATAGTCTTTGGTATAACCTTTAAAGTAATAGCTCACCCAAAAATGAAAATTGAAATGAAAATTTATGAAAACGTACTTAAGCTGCAGGCCATACCAGATGTAGATAAGTTTGTTTCTTCATGGGAACAGATTTGGAGAAATGTAGCATTACATCACTTGCTCACCAATGGATGCTCTGCAGTGAATGGGTGCCGTCAGAATGAGTGTCCAATCAGCTGATAGAAACAGTCCATCAAGTCATGTCTTAAGAAGTAAAAATCAGCTAGTTTGTAATAAAAAAATTCATCATTACAACTTTAATCCGTTGATAAAGTACCAGTCCTTGGTCCATAATATTGCTTTCTGCTTCGAAAAAGTCTTCTCGCTTGAATCAGGAGAGAAATATGCATAGATCAAACACTGTTTACATGGATTGGAGTCGTGTGGAATACTTGTGGATTATTGTGATGTTGTTATCAGCTGTTTGAACTCTCATTCTGACGGCACCCATTCAACTGCAAATGATCCAATTGTGAGCAAGTGATGTAGTGTTGAATTTCTCTGACTCTGATGCAACTTGGATGCATCTTGGATGGCCTGAAGGTGAGTAAATATTTTTTAAAGAGTCATTTGCTGTGTTCATGTAACAATAGTTGAGCGTCTTTGTGCATAAAAATAAGTGAATCTCTTTAAAACAGTACAACAACCTTTATTAATGTTACTTTAAAATGCAGTAATTCTCTTTTTCAGACCACATGCACACAAACTCTCCTCTGCACATTTTAGAAAATAATTATGAATCACGTCAGAATAACCAACATAAGTTGTGACCAAATTTCATGATGCATTGCGTCTTTTCCTAAAGAATCGAAAACATAATTTGAATTGTTGTCAGAGCAAATATTTACACCCTTAGTAGTCTGGCTTTGAGTAAGGGAGCTTTGTCTGGTTTTGTATTAATGTGATTAATCGCTTCGGTCTTATTAAATGCAATGTTTTCTGTGGCCCTGAATAACATTACTCATGTTCTGTTGCTCGAAAACATCCGTAAAAACATCTAAACCAGGGTGAGTTCAGACTGAGTGTGTGCTAGAATACTTATATATACAATAGTACTTGTGGGTTATAATGATATTAATCAAGCACCAATACATGCTAATTATGGATGTCTGCTGTTTTAATCTGGCACTAATTAATTAATTCTGGCAGATTTGAAATGGATATCCGTTCTACTAAAATTCACTGTGCTGAAACTAAGTGTATAGACCGTGAATTAGCCGGTCTGATGGTGGGATGCATTGGGCAGTTCTGCTGCAGGCTTAGATTTAACCCTGGCAGCTAAAAGTGGATTTTGTTTTTGTGTCACCTCTTAAATCAAGCCTGTATAATATCCTCTGTGGATATTCTTTCTACAGAACAGCAAGTGTTTTAAAGGCCTCACTGAAAGCATCAGCTTTGCCCACTCAAACTAGTTTAAAATCTGGTTTCAGGCCAATTTAAATTGGCAAGCTGGTGCATGATTTTTCAGTGCTGTACAATGAACGGCGGGTCGTCATTGGTCATTTGGGACTTTCTAACCTGTGTTACGATGAAGACTGATATAATTAGCCTCGTTTCTCTGTCCTCATTTAGTTTTAGGCCCTTGTTCCAAGTTTGTACCTTGTGTTTACTAGACACCGCAAACTAACATTTTGCATGCAAAAAGATGACTAAATATTGCCTTTTTAAAAAAATAAAAAATAAATAAAACAGTTGATTGTAAAAAGAAACATTTTAAACACTTGTGGATGGAACTAAAGTACTGAAATCTTTTGCAAAAAGACTCTTTAATCATGCTTAATTTCTTTAATGTATTTTTACTTCTTTCTCAGTAAGTCGATTAGAGGAGCGAGAGGCTGAACTCAAGCGCGAGTATAATTCCCTTCATCTGCGGCATACAGAGGTAAGAGAGAGCAAATTCAACACCATGTAAATGACTAAGGCCATGCACACACTGCAATTTTGGGAGAGACAACCATATTATATATTAATCAAATATTGAATTTAAATGAAAGTACTTACAAAAGTTTGGGGTTAGTAAGATTTCTTTTAAATAAATTTTTACTTTTATTCAGCAAGAATGCATAAAAATGATAAAAAGGCACAGTAAAGCCATTTATAATGGTACAAATAGATTTTTATTTCAAATAAATGCTGTTCTTTTGAACATCAAAGAATCCTGAAAAAAATGTTTCATGGTTTCCTCAAAAATATGAAGCAGCACAACTGTTTTCAACATTGATAATAATAATAATAATAATAATAATAATAAATGTTTCTTGGGCAGCAAATCAGCATGTTTGAATGATTTCTGAAGGATCATGTGACACTGAAGTAATGATGCTGAAAGCTTTGCATCACAGGAATAAATTACACTTTACAATATATTCAAATACAAGGGTTATTTTAATAACATTTCACAATATTAATGTTTTTACTTTGATCAAATAAATGCAGGCTTGGTGAGCATAAAAGACGACTTTCAAAAATACAAACAAATCTTACCGACCTCAAACTTTTGAATGAATTGATAACCACATTTAGCTGTAGTATCTACCTGTAACTCTTTAAGGCCAATGAATCTGTCTATGTTTTGTTAAATTGTTCTTCAGATGATCCACAACTACATGGAACATGTGGAACGGATCCGGATACAGCAGACGGGAGGAGAGGCCTCTGACACAGCAACAATTGGCCGAGTTCGGTAAAATGAACATAATCCTCTAATCTGTGCTAAAAAGAAACAGACACCATCATGTAGTTGTTTTAAATAGTACTTTTGCATGATTGTTTATAGAAAATTAAGTAACATTAGAAAAAATGTTGATTACACACATTAATATTAATACATGATGCAGGTTAGTTTGTATCATGATTTTTGATCTTCTTCCTCTCATTAAACAGGAAAGAGCGGCCCCTGTCTCTGGGAATCTTCCCCATGTCCGGCGGTGGCACTTCACTGACACCTGACATCCAGGGCAGAGCCGAGACTCCTGGGATGGAGGGCTGGAGATTCAATAACCTCAGTCATCAGTGCTCTAACGCTAGCCTCAAGGTACAATAACATCACAGCATCTTCTACTGAGGGGATTATACAGCGCTAAGACAAATGTCCAGGGAATTTACACCAGGTCATGAGAAGAAAAGAATTGCTATAATAGATAAACGGCATAAAAGAACTCTGGGAAGAGATGATTGTAGATACACATTTGATGTCTTTGTTTTGTGCGCATATCCTCTGAAACAAACAAGATCTGTTTTTGTAAAGATACATGTTTGCTGGTGGATAGGGAAGAAAATATGAGCAGTGGTTGGTTGACAGATGTTGCCATGGAAACGTTAGGCAGTGATGACGCATTTTCAAGCATCCTGCAACATCGGCAATGACCTATTTTACCAAATTTACTACCAAAATACAGGTTTAAATAAGATTTTAGGGTTTGCGATGCAGTTAAATGACTACAGGGTTAAAGTTACTGTATTAAAGGGGTCATATAATGCGATTTCAAGTTTTCCTTTCTCTTTGGAGTGTTACAAGCTGTTCGTGAATAGATAAGATCCCTAAAGTTGCAAAGGCTAAAGTCTCAAACCCAAAGAGATATTCTTTATAAAAGTTAAGACTTGTCCACGCCCTGCTAAAACGCCTCATTTAAACACGCCCCCACATGTCTACATCACTGTGTGGGAAGATTTGCATAACACCGCCCAAATGTTCATGCAAAGAAAGAAGGCGTAACTTTGCTTCTCGCTGTAGTATTATTGCTGCTGCCACCATGTCGTAGAGACGCTGTGTGTTTCATTGTTTCCTCCAAAAGAGGACACAACTAGACATCAGTGGTTAAGTTGTATTTACAACACTGTTCCAGAACAGTTCAACCCAAATATTCAGATGTGTGCAACGCATTTTACGTAGGATGAGGAGCCTACAATGCCGGTGTTTCGGTGAATTCAGTTCCACTGTTTCCCCTTCGCCCGCACATGCTGACCACAGTCTATGATGCTGACAAATAATGCTGACTCACAGCCTGTAAGTACGTTTTCATATTTAAAGGATTTGCCGCTGATGATTCAAACGCAAGTTTTGAGCAGTGTAGAGTAGCGCTTGTTGTTTGTCGTTTCTCCGATCACAAATGCAGACATGGTTTTATGTTTACACGGCGTGATGCAGTGCAACGCGTAAAAAGACAGTGTAAGTCATTATAATCAGTAATTGTGTCCCCACTGGATGCAACAAATGCCTCTTTTGTAATGGGTTTACTGGTTTTGTCTCACGCCGGGACACGACATCACTTTTCAGAACGATGAGCTTTGTAAAAATCTACGCGTTTCAGAAAGGCGGGGCGTAGAGGAGAAACAATAATGTACAGTATGTGGAAAATAATGTGTTTTTTGAACCTTAAACCGCATAAACACATTTCATTACACTAAATACACAAAATAATGTTATTTTTTAGCAGCATCATATGACCCCTTTAACATCATTTATTTGACCTATACTTTAGGATGGGCTGTTATAAGCTTGTTGTGAGGATGTTTAGATAACATGTGTAATATGCAGTTATTCTGAAAATATTTTGCGGTTCATTTGGAAAAATTTTTTTTTTTTGAACTGGGTTCAATACTTCCTGATGTTCAATTTAAGAACATCAAATGGACCCTTTTCACATTTCCAGGGTTCTCAGAACTGGAAGTCCTTCTATAGTGGTGAAGAAACTACAGCAAATATAATTTTTGTTGTCCCATTTGATAGTGTTTCTCTGACTTTCCAAAAGAGGAAAAACATAGACCTATTGATTACAATAGTTGGAAGAGAGAAGAAGGTCAAATTTGCTGTCACTTCCTCAGCCATTGCATTAGAAATGCAGCAGCATTAACTAGTTTTCTGAAATGTAATGCCAATGTAACAAAGTATAGTGTTATAAACGAACTTTACATTTTTTAATAAACAAGTAAAAATATACAAAACTTCACAATGTGGAAGTGCGTCATGTGAAAAGGGTCCATTATACAGAACATTCACTCAATTTATATTAAAGCCTTTTTTCTTTACCTGAACTGATTTGATGCTTCGACATCCACGTTCACCTGCATGAAACATGGCAACATTAAGAATCTGAAGCTCTCTTCTATGGATCGCTACTTAAATGTTCTCATCCATAATAATGTTATGTTAGAGTTGTGTTTTCCCACCCACCAATGCTAGATCACAGCACAAACACATGTGAGCGCTAATGTGTTTTGTGTTTCAAACAAAAATAAGATGCCACGTCCCAATTTTCTTGTCCAAGCAGTTGGAGGCGGAGGACACTCCAAAGAAATGGGGTGGTAAGGATGTTCTGGAAGCTTGGGCCTCGCTGGCAAACGACTGCAAGGTAGCAAGGCTCTGTGGCAGCAGACAGTGTGTAGTGCAAATCACCGTTGTCCTCTAATAGTTGAATGTTTTTTTTAGTTTTTTTTTTACAGAAGGTTGTTTGGTGTCTTAACTGCATGCAACTACGGAGATGTAGAATGTCCAGATTAGTAATAAATGCTAATTAAAAAGAGCATGTTAACATGGAGTAATGCACAATTATTTTAGTAATTTAGGATATAGTTGCATAAAGGCAGACAGTGTGTAGTGCAAATCACCGTTGTCCTCTAATAGTTGAATGTTTTTTTTAGTTTTTTTTTACAGAAGGTTGTTTGGTGTCTTAACTGCATGCAACTACGGAGATGTAGAATGTCCAGATTAGTAATAAATGCTAATTAAAAAGAGCATGTTAACATGGAGTAATGCACAATTATTTTAGTAATTTAGGATATAGTTGCATAAAGCTAATGCATGGTGTTAATTTAGCTTTCACCGCATGTCATTTCAGTTTCACGCTGTCTTAGATTTCTTTCTTCATTTGCACATTTCTAACATTGTGTTATCAAAATGGTTGCTGACAGTGTCACTTCTTTAGTTGTAACACTTATTGGGGTTATAATTTAGTTTTAACCATTGTTGGGGAATGTTACTTATAAAGGAAGTGTTACCCTATTTCTTTACTCCTAATAAAAGTAACTGTTACATTTTTATAGTGGGAAAGTAATGTTAGTTTTGCATTATTTTGGATAAAGTGTGTGAAAGATATAGGTTAATAAAGGCTCAGTTTTAGTAGGTTAATATTTCTCTACAGTATAAATACCCCCAACACTTGGCTTTAACAGTTTTTCCTTCTTTTCTTTAAATTACTGCATTGGGTTGCATTTACAGCAGTGTTTTTAACTTATTTCATCAGCGTAAATGATATTTGCGTCGTTGTTTTGGGGTGTGTTGTGTAAATCTCTGTGTGTTGCATTAGTTTTTTGTAGAGATTGACTGATAATGGGTTTGGAATGGATGATATATTTCTTCTCTCCTGAATTGGCATGGTATTAATCGTGTATATATATCACTTTATTTAATATAGTGTTTGGATAAAATTATAAACTTATACATTTTTAAATGTGTATCCTAATAATCAGACAGCAAAGTTACAAAACAACTTTGCATTAATGTAATGGCATAACATGCATTTTTTTATTATTGTGTTGAAAAGCAGAAATTTAAGCTTTAAAATATTATTAGTAATATTGTAGTATTTACAATATTTCTGCATTTTAATTACAGGACACTTGGGAAAAAAAATAAAAATTCTGTATCAGTCCATCTCAATTTTTTGCCGTTCTAATCGCTGTTCTCTGATGTTTTGTTGTTGTTTTTGTATCATGTAAACTTACAGTTGCTTCAGTGAGTCTTGAACTAACTAGTTGTCTAGTTATTATTTGACACCAGTTTTTCAAAAACATTTGATGTCTACAGCAATGCCAGCATATTATCCATTATATATTTCGTTGTGTCTGTCCTGTGTGTGTTTGTGTGCCCACTGGTCTCACATCAGTTTGTCAAATGTTCGGGGGTTTAAGTGAATATCCCAACCCCTCTGTGTTTTCATGTTGCTTTCTCTCCTCTGTCACTGAGCTGTGATCTCTGACCTTCAGGTAATGAGCATTGTGTTTTGAATGATTTCAGGATGAGCTGTCTGACCTCAGCCAGGGAGGCTCAAAGTCTGTCACTCCCATGTCCACCACGGCCTCAGATTTGGCCCTGGACTCGCACAGAGAGGATGGAGACGGATTCTGGAAGAACACAGAGGTTCAGGCTGTTCCAGGGATCAGGAGCGTCTCTGCGGGTTAGACACTCTTTTACTGTGGATGGAATGCTTTACAGTTTTATTGTAAAATTGCACAATATTACTCAAATAGCGCTTTATTTAGTGGTCTACTCCCATTCAGAAGTTTGGGGTCGGTAAGATTGTTCTTATGCTCGGTGAGGCTACATTTATCAAAAATACAGTAAAACAGTAATATTGTGAAATATTATTACAATTTAAAATCACTTTTCTATTTGATTTTAAGAAGTAATTTATTCCTGTGATGTTAAAGTTGAATGTTCAGCATCATTACTCCAGTCTTCAGTGTCACATGATCCTTCAGAAATCAGTCTAATATGCTGATTTGCTGCTCAAACATTTATTATCAATGTTGAAAACTGTTGTGCTGCTTAATTTTTTTTTGTGGAAACCAAGATCCTTTTTTTCAGGATTCTTTGATTAGAAAGTTCAAACGAACAGCATTTACATAGAAATCTTTTATAATAATTTTGAAATCTTTACCGGTCACCTTCAAACACCTAATGCCTCTCTGCTGAATAAAATATTAATTTCTTAAAAGAAATGTACTGACCCCAAACATTTAAAAGGTAGTGTATGTAAGTCATTGCAATATAATGCAAAAATGCCTCTAAAATGGCATGCTAAGCTGTAGCAAACCATGTATTGTTTCAATGGGACTACTACCCATTATGCATTTTGACTGTGACTACCTTGTCGTCAAAGTGTATGAGTGGAAAAGACCAATTTCACCCACTTGTACGTATTGCAGATCACATTTTAAATTATGATAAATATGCAATTGTCCATTTTGATTATTCAGGTCTGGCCGATAATGAGGAGAAGTCAGATGTTCAGGCCATTATTGAGTCCACACCAGAGCTGGACATGGACCTCGGATATAAAGGTTCAAGGTAACCAGTGTGCCATAAATCTTTGTGTCTAAAATGTTTGAATGTGTCTATGATGCCCAGAAATACTGTTTAGGTTTAATAGGATTTTTTTTAAACTGAACTGAGTAGCTACAGTTTTACTCTCTCATATTAAAGGGGTCATATGATGTTGCTAAAAAGAACATTATTTTGTGTATTTGGTGTAATGAAATGGGTTTATGCGGTTTAAGGTTCAAAAAAGGTCTGAAAAGTGAGGTATGCTCTGATTGGCCAGCTATCCAGTGCGTTGTGATTGGCTGAATACCTCAAGCATGTGACGGAAATGTTACGCCCCTTACCATACTGTGATGGCGCGTCCCGGCCGGAGCGAAGAGACAAAACATTAAAACCCATTATAAACGAGGCATTTGTTGCATCCAGTGGGGACATAATTACGGATTATAATGATTTATACTCACACCAGAGCTGGACATGGACCTCGGATATAAAGGTTCAAGGTAACCAGTGTGCCATAAATCTTTGTCTAAAATGTTTGAATGTGTCTATGATGCCCAGAAATACTGTTTAGGTTTAATAGGATTTTTTTTTAACTGAACTGAGTAGCTACAGTTTTACTCTCTCATATTAAAGGGGTCATATGATGTTGCTAAAAAGAACATTATTTTGTGTATTTGGTGTAATGAAATATTATTTATTACTATTATTATTATTATATCTTGGTGCATAAAGATTATGCACCAAGAGCTTGTAACACTCCGAAGAGAAAGGAAAAATTTAAATCGCATCATATGACTCCCTTAAAGGGTCAGATCCTAAATCCAGTGCTGGTGTATAACTGAATAATGTAACCTGCTTGTTGCTGATGTGTTGAAGTACCCCGACCCGAGGGATTGAGAACATGGTGTTCGACCGAAATACAGAGTCTCTCTTTGAAGAAGTGTCGTCAGCAGGCACAGGTTTGATTGGAGACGTGGATGAAGGAGCAGATCTGTTGGGTATGTTTGTTGCTGTTCATTTTCAGATATTATGAAGGGAAAAACATATTACACAAACCTAAAACAGTTTTACTTGAGCATGATTTTTATTAACATCAAAGGAATAGTTCACCCAAAAATTTTCTGAGAATTTACTCACCCTCAGGTCATCCAAGATGTAGATGAGTTTGTTTCCTCATCAGAGCAGATTTGGAGAAATGTAGCATCACTTGCTCACCAATGGATCCTCTGCATTGAATGGGTGCCGTCAGAATGAGAGTCCAAACAGCTGATAAAAACATCACAATAATCCACAAGTAATCCACATGACTCGAGTCCATCAATTAACATCTTGTGAAGTGAAAAGCTGCATGTTTCTAAGAAACAAATTCATCATTAAGACATTTTTAATTTCAAACTGTTTTTTGCGGATAGAGTCCTCTATCTGTAATTTCTTTCTCCAGTAAAAAAGTAATCTTGTCTGAATCGGGAGAGAAATATGCACAGATCAAGCACCGTTTACAAGTGAAAATGGTCCAACACAGTTCCAAACAAATATGTCAGTGGATATTGATCGTTATTAAGGATTGTTTTTTTTCTGGCCAGAAGCAATGGTTTAAAGTTAAAAACACCTTAATGATGGATTTGTTTCTTACGAACATGCAGCTTTTCACTTCACAAGATGTTCATTGATGGACTGGAGTGGTGTGGATTATTGTGATGTTTTTATCAGCTGTTTGGACTCATTCTGACGGCACCCATTCACTGCTGAGGATCCATTGGTGAGCAAGTGATGTAACGATACATTCCTCCAAATCTTTCCTGATGAAGAAACAAACTCATCTTCATCTTGGATGACCTGAGGGTGAGCACATTTTCAGCAAATTTTAATTTTCATGTGCCATTTGCCATCATAATGAGATGAGCTCTGTGATGGTGGCACAGTCCCATGATGCTCTGTTTTGCATGTTGAACTGACCCAGATTTCTCTCTCCATGCCCTCTTATCCTGATCTTCCCTCTAACTGCAGTGGAGTACTCCGGTGTGTATGACATCCTTGCTTCTTTCTGTCAGTGAATCTTTGCTTGTGATTCAGTTAGCATCATTTTTGTATCTCAATCTTTCATCTGTTCCTCACACTTCTCCATACTTTCCTCTTTAACTGTATCATACAGTAGCAAATAATTCTAACCTTATGGCAGCAACATGACATGAACTTTTTCCACTACTATGTAGCATGATGTATCGCAGAATGATAGTGTTAAGGCCCGTTCACACCAAAGACAATAACCATAAAGATAACAATAAAGATATAGTTCTAAAAATCATTCTCAATATTAAAAAGAATAGCAGAGTGCACACCGCAGCTATAACGATAAAGGTACAGAGAAACTATATAATTGGAATCACTTTCAGAACAATTTTTTTTCAGCTGTAGTTAAGAAATATAACATTATCTAAAGTTTAAACGCACTTCAAAGTAATAATTTCATTGCTTTAATACTGTCCGATTTCTTTTATATATAAAGATTACAGTAAAAACAGTAATATTGTTAAATGTTATTGCAATTTATAGTAACTGTTTTCTGTTTTAGTAAGTTTTAAAATGCAGTTTATTCCTTTAAATTAATTTAATTGTGATACTTTTTTTCAGGATTCTTTGTTGAATATAAAGTTCAAAAGAACATAATTTATTTGAAATGGAAATCTTCTGTAACATGATAAATGTCTTCACTGTCACTTAAACGTGTCCATGCTAAGTAAAAGTAATTTATAAAAGTAGTAGTTTTTTTTTACAAAAAAATAAATAAATTGATCAGTTGCTGTGACGAACATGTTCCAACAAGATAATATAATGAAACAATGTGCATTACATGTTTTAAATATTCAATCTTTCAATTCAGTCACAAAGGCATTGTCACTTAGAAATAATAATATTGAGTGTCCCCAAAATCGTTTTTATAGCTCAAAAATAATTTTTATACCATACCCCAAAATTACTTTTGTACCTCAGTTTTTATTTAATCTTTTTCACAAATTGAAGCCTGGTTTCTCCTCCTACACTCATTGTTAGTAGCCAGCTTGTAGTTCACATTAGCCATAATATTAAGCAAACTTAAGCCTATAAACCTAGTTATATCTAATCTGAATGTGGTTGATCTGTCAGTGGTCTCTCTCCACTCTTTCCAGCATCTCTTGGTTTTTCTGTGACCTGTTAACTCTCACCTCACAGCTGTCCATTCCTGTTTCACTCTTCATGTGTCTGTCTCTCTGTCGAACACACGCAGTGCATGCGCTTTCACACCCGAGTCTGTCCGGTAAGACCATTCATACGGCCTGTCTAACCTGAAAACACAGGGCACGTAAAACTCATCTCCAAAGTTTTGAATCTTTAAATAGAGTTTTTATTATCATCACATTATTGCTTTGTCATCAGTTTGCCTCAGTTGTAGTGCTATTAGAGTTTTTTGTGATGTATTCTGCAGGCATGGGTCGTGAGGTGGAGAATCTCATTCAGGAAAATGTGCAGTTGCTTGAGACAAAGTGAGTAATATTGTATCTTTTTACAGTCTATTTACTGTTGTATGTTGCTTTGTTGTTGACACCGCATTGTTTGTGTGCGCAGAAATGCATTGAACGTGGTGAAGAACGATCTGATCGCTCGTGTGGATGAGCTCTCCTGTGAGAAGGAGGTTCTTCAGGGGGAGCTGGATGCGGTTTTGCAGGCCAAAGCCAAACTAGAGGAGAAAAACAAGGAGCTGGAGGAGGAACTCAAAAAGTGAGTCCTTGTTTCGACCAAATAATACAAAAACACCTGAGGGATGCATTCATATGCAGTTGTTCCGGCTCTAGTTATCATGCCTTAGTAGCTGTATTTGAAAATAAATCAAACATGACGTATTCAGGTTAATAGCCACAGGTGGTTTATCACATTAATGTGCGTCTTTTTTCATGGGAAGCTATTGCTATTTGGACTGTGTAATTAAATGTGTTACTAGATTGTACAGTTGCACTGAAAATGAGGGACTCATAAGAATATTTCATAACACAGAGTGAAAGCAGAGGCAGAGGAGGCCAAACAGAACAATAATAAAGAAAAAGATGAGGTAAGTATTAATATTTAAGTATCACAATAAATATAAGAGTCAGTGAGATTAAAACTATATAAAGTTATTAATTTTATATACATGTAACGTTTATTATTATTTATTAGCTCTAAAAAGGGGAATATTTATGACGAATTATAACTGGTTATGATTCATAATAAATATTTAGATTATATCTTCGAATTAACTGTAGCAGAATCAATATTACAATTATTTGATCTGTCCGTCCACCGAGCAGACAATATAATCATTTATCAATTCAAGGAATATTTATTTTCTGGCCACGGAACAATAAACTGTCCTTCTTTGTACAGTGCTAGCAGTAATTCTTAGCCAAATGTAGCAAAGGTTCAAACATTCATTGACTTGGAACTGTGAACAGTAAACAGAGACAATCCGTTGTGAATATAAGGGATTTAATAAAATGAAACTATATCTAACATATAACTAACTAAAACATATATACACAGAATGAAACAAAGTAAGGAAAAGAGAGAGAATAGGAAAGAATGGCAGTATTTCACATCACTTAACCACAACCTCTGAAAAATCATCAAAGAATCCAATAATCACCTTAAAAGGGACTGAAATTTAAACACGCATCTAAATAATTTGAAGCGGTTACTTGCATTGGTTTCGATCGCTGAAGAAGAGTCCGGATGCGGTAGATAACGGAGCTCTTTTGATGAGTTCGTGAGGAGTCAGCTGGAAGTTTTTACTTCTGGTTCCTCTGAAGAAGAAGTCCACAGCGACTAACGTTACTTGAAAGTAAAAACTGCCGGAAAATAAAACTCAAGAGGAAGGTCTTGAGAGTCCTGAAAGGTGTTGTCTCAAACGAAGAAGAAGTTTTCTGAGCACAAGTTATTTTGGGCTAATCGTTTTTGAGAGTTCCTATTCTGTGTGTTCTGACCAATGAGAGACATGGATTTTGAGCGGGAGAATCGTCTTTGTCTCTTGTTTTATGGCTCATTTGCATGCTTTATGGCCGGTCTGGAACATCCGTAGTTTTAACCCAAAATATCGTGCGAGTCATATGATGCGTTTCACAATCACATACTATACGTCATTGTCCGAGAAATGAAGAACGGGTGACATTGATACCAAGAAACAATAATCTGGAATAGATTAAACCAAAGATACACACATACACCTGAATATAAGTGTTTTATGGCTTTAACTAATACAAATAACGAGTGGTAACTCATCTAATCTAACAAGGGAATGTACACACCACATGCATATACCAGATACAATTATAACTGATTAATTATAGTCTAAAATAAAGAAATGTCTGTATGTGTGTGTGTGTGTTAGTTTGGGTGTGTGTGTGTGTGTGTATGTTTTCTTATAGTTATTATAAATTGCAATAACATTTAACAATATTACTGTTTTTACTGTAATCTTTATATATAAAAGAAATCGGACAGTATTAAAGCAATGAAATTATTACTATTATTTATTACTATTATTATTATTATATCTTGGTGCATAAAGATTATGCACCAAGAGCTTGTAACACTCCGAAGAGAAAGGAAAAATTTAAATCGCATCATATGACCCCCTTAAAGGGTCAGATCCTAAATCCAGTGCTGGTGTATAACTGAATAATGTAACCTGCTTGTTGCTGATGTGTTGAAGCACCCCGACCCGAGGGATTGAGAACATGGTGTTCGACCGAAATACAGAGTCTCTCTTTGAAGAAGTGTCGTCAGCAGGCACAGGTTTGATTGGAGACGTGGATGAAGGAGCAGATCTGTTGGGTATGTTTGTTGCTGTTCATTTTCAGATATTATGAAGGGAAAAACATATTACACAAACCTAAAACAGTTTTACTTGAGCATGATTTTTATTAACATCAAAGGAATAGTTCACCCAAAAATTTTCTGAGAATTTACTCACCCTCAGGTCATCCAAGATGTAGATGAGTTTGTTTCCTCATCAGAGCAGATTTGGAGAAATGTAGCATCACTTGCTCACCAATGGATCCTCTGCATTGAATGGGTGCCGTCAGAATGAGAGTCCAAACAGCTGATAAAAACATCACAATAATCCACAAGTAATCCACATGACTCGAGTCCATCAATTAACATCTTGTGAAGTGAAAAGCTGCATGTTTCTAAGAAACAAATTCATCATTAAGACATTTTTAATTTCAAACTGTTTTTTGCGGATAGAGTCCTCTATCTGTAATTTCTTTCTCCAGTAAAAAAGTAATCTTGTCTGAATCGGGAGAGAAATATGCACAGATCAAGCACCGTTTACAAGTGAAAATGGTCCAACACAGTTCCAAACAAATATGTCAGTGGATATTGATCGTTATTAAGGATTGTTTTTTTTCTGGCCAGAAGCAATGGTTTAAAGTTAAAAACACCTTAATGATGGATTTGTTTCTTACGAACATGCAGCTTTTCACTTCACAAGATGTTCATTGATGGACTGGAGTGGTGTGGATTATTGTGATGTTTTTATCAGCTGTTTGGACTCATTCTGACGGCACCCATTCACTGCTGAGGATCCATTGGTGAGCAAGTGATGTAACGATACATTCCTCCAAATCTTTCCTGATGAAGAAACAAACTCATCTTCATCTTGGATGACCTGAGGGTGAGCACATTTTCAGCAAATTTTAATTTTCATGTGCCATTTGCCATCATAATGAGATGAGCTCTGTGATGGTGGCACAGTCCCATGATGCTCTGTTTTGCATGTTGAACTGACCCAGATTTCTCTCTCCATGCCCTCTTATCCTGATCTTCCCTCTAACTGCAGTGGAGTACTCCGGTGTGTATGACATCCTTGCTTCTTTCTGTCAGTGAATCTTTGCTTGTGATTCAGTTAGCATCATTTTTGTATCTCAATCTTTCATCTGTTCCTCACACTTCTCCATACTTTCCTCTTTAACTGTATCATACAGTAGCAAATAATTCTAACCTTATGGCAGCAACATGACATGAACTTTTTCCACTACTATGTAGCATGATGTATCGCAGAATGATAGTGTTAAGGCCCGTTCACACCAAAGACAATAACCATAAAGATAACAATAAAGATATAGTTCTAAAAATCATTCTCAATATTAAAAAGAATAGCAGAGTGCACACCGCAGCTATAACGATAAAGGTACAGAGAAACTATATAATTGGAATCACTTTCAGAACAATTTTTTTTCAGCTGTAGTTAAGAAATATAACATTATCTAAAGTTTAAACGCACTTCAAAGTAATAATTTCATTGCTTTAATACTGTCCGATTTCTTTTATATATAAAGATTACAGTAAAAACAGTAATATTGTTAAATGTTATTGCAATTTATAGTAACTGTTTTCTGTTTTAGTAAGTTTTAAAATGCAGTTTATTCCTTTAAATTAATTTAATTGTGATACTTTTTTTCAGGATTCTTTGTTGAATATAAAGTTCAAAAGAACATAATTTATTTGAAATGGAAATCTTCTGTAACATGATAAATGTCTTCACTGTCACTTAAACGTGTCCATGCTAAGTAAAAGTAATTTATAAAAGTAGTAGTTTTTTTTTACAAAAAAATAAATAAATTGATCAGTTGCTGTGACGAACATGTTCCAACAAGATAATTTAATGAAACAATGTGCATTACATGTTTTAAATATTCAATCTTTCAATTCAGTCACAAAGGCATTGTCACTTAGAAATAATAATATTGAGTGTCCCCAAAATCGTTTTTATAGCTCAAAAATAATTTTTATACCATACCCCAAAATTACTTTTGTACCTCAGTTTTTATTTAATCTTTTTCACAAATTGAAGCCTGGTTTCTCCTCCTACACTCATTGTTAGTAGCCAGCTTGTAGTTCACATTAGCCATAATATTAAGCAAACTTAAGCCTATAAACCTAGTTATATCTAATCTGAATGTGGTTGATCTGTCAGTGGTCTCTCTCCACTCTTTCCAGCATCTCTTGGTTTTTCTGTGACCTGTTAACTCTCACCTCACAGCTGTCCATTCCTGTTTCACTCTTCATGTGTCTGTCTCTCTGTCGAACACACGCAGTGCATGCGCTTTCACACCCGAGTCTGTCCGGTAAGATCATTCATGTGGCCTGTCCAACTTTTATCTGTCTTAACCTGAAAACACAGGGCATTAAAAACTCATCCAACGTTTTGAATGTTTAAACAATGTTTTTATGATCACATTTTTGCTTTTGTCATCAGTTTGCCTTGGCTGTACTGTAATTAGAGCATTTTGTGTTGTATTCTGCAGGCATGGGTCGTGAGGTGGAGAATCTCATTCAGGAAAATGTGCAGTTGCTTGAGACAAAGTGAGTAATATTGTAGCTTTTTACAGTCTATTTACTGTTGTATGTTGCTTTGTTGTTGACACCGCATTGTTTGTGTGCGCAGAAATGCATTGAACGTGGTGAAGAACGATCTGATCGCTCGTGTGGACGAGCTCTCCTGTGAGAAGGAGGTTCTTCAGGGGGAGCTGGATGCGGTTTTGCAGGCCAAAGCCAAACTAGAGGAGAAAAACAAGGAGCTGGAGGAGGAACTCAAAAAGTGAGTCATTGTTTCAACCAAATAATACAAAAACGCCAAAGGGCTGCATTCATATGCAGTTGTTCAGGATCTAGTTATCATGTGGTAGTAGCCGAATTTTAGAATAAATCAAACATGACATATTCAGGTTAGTAGCCACAGGTGGTTTAGGTAACACCTAGGTAAAGGCCACCTTAATGTGCATCTTTTTCATGAGAAGCTATTGCTGCATGGACTGTGTAATTAAATGTGTAACTAGACTGTACAATTGCACTGAAAATGGGGGACTCATAAGAATATTTCATAACACAGAGTGAAAGCAGAGGCAGAGGAGGCCAAACAGAACAATAATAAAGAAAAAGATGAGGTAAGTATTAATATTTAAGTATCACAATAAATATAAGAGTCAGTGAGATTAAAACTATATAAAGTTATTAATTTTATATACATGTAACGTTTATTATTATTTATTAGCTCTAAAAAGGGGAATATTTATGACGAATTATAACTGGTTATGATTCATAATAAATATTTAGATTATATCTTCGAATTAACTGTAGCAGAATCAATATTACAATTATTTGATCTGTCCGTCCACCGAGCAGACAATATAATCATTTATCAATTCAAGGAATATTTATTTTCTGGCCACGGAACAATAAACTGTCCTTCTTTGTACAGTGCTAGCAGTAATTCTTAGCCAAATGTAGCAAAGGTTCAAACATTCATTGACTTGGAACTGTGAACAGTAAACAGAGACAATTCGTTGTGAATATAAGAGATTTAATAAAATGAAACTATATCTAACATATAACTACAGCAAGGATGCCTTAAATTGATCAGAAATGAAAGTGCTTTAAATAATGTTGCAAAAGATTTCGGTTTCAAATAAATGCTGTTCGTTCAAGTTTTCTATTCGTCAAAGAATCCTGAAAAAATATATATCAGGTTTCCACATTTATAATAATCAGCACAACTGTTTTTAACATTGATAATAATAATAATAAATGTTTCGTGAGGACCACATCAGCATATCAGAATGATTTCTGATGGATCATGTGACACTGAAGAGTCTGGAGTAATGATGTTGGAAATTCAGCTTTGATCACAGGAATAAATTATATTTTACAATATATTCAAATAGAAAACAGTTATTTTAAATTGTAATAATAGTTCACACCTAGGGTTGCAAAAAAGTGGAATATTTCCAGTAAATTTAGGAAACATTCCAGAAATTTTGTAAACTTTCCAGGATTTTTTGGAATATTCCAGGGATTTTTGGAAAGTTTCTGGAAATTTACTGGATATTTTCCACCCCTTTGCAACCTTAGTTCACAGTATTATTGATTTTACTGTAGAGACTTCTTTCAAAAACATGAACTTTTAAGCAGTACTGCATATTTCAGTTCTTCTGAAGCCATACGGTAGCTTTGTGTGAAGCCGTTTGCCACAGAAAATGTTGCCCTTACTCTCCAATACATATTCAAAATACATTCTTAGGTGAACTGTTCATTTCCTAGTTCACCATATTACATGATTTCTTTTAAAACAACATGCAACGATTAATACATGTTAAAATAATAATTGTTAGGCCCAAATGGTGTATGTAACTTCGTCTCCCCTTCTGTTGGGTTTCTGCAGAGCGATGTGCCCACAGCTCAGAGGAGGAGGTTCACACGGGTGGAGATGGCTCGAGTCCTGATGGAGCGAAACCAGTACAAGGAGAGACTGATGGAGCTGCAGGAGGCCGTCAGGTGGACGGAAATGATCCGGTAAACAAAGGATATCTCTAATTTGCTCTACAGTCCAAAATGGATGTTATGAGCATGTTGTTATACATACAGGTGCATCTCAATAAATTAGAATGTCGTGGAAAAGTTAATTTATTTCAGTAATTCAACTCAAATTGTGAAACTTGTGTATAAAATAAATTCAATGCACACAGACTGAAGTAGTTTAAGTCTTTGGTTCTTTTAATTGTGATGATTTTGGCTCACATTTAACAAAAACCCACCAATTCACTATCTCAACAAATTAGAATATGGTGACATGCTTATTGAGTACATGTACATACTGAACATAATGAACATACTTTTCAGAAGGCCAACAATTCACAAAAAAAAATTTTTTTATTGGTCTTATGAAGTATTCTAATTCTTTGAGAATTGTTGGGTTTTTGTTAAATGTGAGCCAAAATAATCACAATTAAAAGAACCAAAGACTTAAACTACTTCACTCTGTGTGCATTGAATTGATTTAATACACGAGTTTCACAATTTGAGTTGAATTACTGAAATAAATGAACTTTTCCATGACATTCTAATTTATTGAGATGCACCTGTAATATTATGAAAACGCGGTCGATAACTCTGGTGTAATTTGAACGGGAGCGGGTGGTCTAACAATATCCCGTTCCCGACGTCTTTTCAGAACAACATATCTGTCCTTTATTCTTATTGACCACCGGTACAGCCTGCACTCAGGACTGTTATGCGCTTGAACCAGCGCTTTCTGAGTCACGCATTTTATTTGCGAGGTCTGTGCGCAGCTTGTGAATAACGATGCTCAGAGCAGGCTGTAGCCTACCGGTGGTAAATACGGTCCTCAGACAGAACAGGCAGGTTGTCGATGAGTGACAGAGCGGACAGGGGCGGATCTAGTAAATAATTTTTAGAGTGGCAAAGGGGTGGCTTGGGATCTATGAGGGGTGGCAACACCGAAGCAAGCCCCCATGCATAGTTTTTGGGGGTTTATGGTCTGACATACACAGTTGTGTTCACAAATATTTTATAACCATTAAGTAATCATCTACTGTTTAAAATGAAAAATACATAACAACATTTCAATATCCATCATGGCACCAAGTCAATGCACAATATAAAAACTTCAACAGGTTATAAATGTTTCTGAGCTTGTATCACTAAAGAAGACATGCGGTTCTATTAAAATAGCATAGGCTACTTAGATGATATAAATCACATTTAGTGCAAGTTTAAGAGCAACAAAAACTTTTGAATTTCCAAACATTAGAAAGAAATACAATAATATCAAAGCACTGAAACTGGATCAGTTTTGAAAACAATGTTTGATTTTCTGTTATTAAAAGAGGTGGGAATGTCTGTAATCACCCAGAACAAACTCTATCAACCATGTACTCTAGCAATACCCCAGCAACTGCATAGCAAGAGCCTAGCAACCACCCAGAATATCCTAGCAACCAACTAGCAACACTTTAGCAAACATCTAACTGACCAAACCATTTACAGTCCATTTTACATTCTGCAATTTTAAACAAGACTTTAATACAAGCGAGCATAAATTTGTCTTTCAAACTTTTCAATCTAGTTATTACAGTTTTTCTTACAGGTTTTTTTCAACCGCTTGCATTTTCAAAACTTTGCCTCTTTTTTTCAAAACTTTACACACAAATCCAAGAATTGCACACATAAAATGCAAAATGCCTCGCGTCTCTTGCGAAATGAAGCACTGCATTCAAAATATCACAAACGCATCTCAAAAGCAAACATTTGAAAACACCTTTGCCATAATATTAATTCCTGTTAGATTTTTGTGTGTTACATAGAGAATTGTGTGTTGTGTTTTGCAAAAAGGGTTTTATGAAATTGAAAACTGAGAATTAGTGTATGGTTTTGCAGATTTGGTGTGTGCTTCTGGTGTTTGTGTCAGGTTTCAGAAATTGTGTGACAAGGAAAGATTTTGTGCAAGCAGTTGAAAAAAAACTGTAAATGCTTACACACAATTCAAATACACAGATGACTTTCCTGCCCAGTGAACACTGAGATCAATAGCACTGTAACAATAAAACTCTTACTAGGATTCAGGAATTATTTTTGCAGCTCAATGTCTACTTCTAATTACAGTAAACATAAATTAAATTACAGATACAGATGTATAATTCAGCAATGAACTTTTGGGCAAAAATCATTTTCGTTTTACTACTGTAAAGTAATCTTGCAGTAGATGAAAAGCACTAGAAAAGTTCAAATACCAAAGAATTGTATGAACTTGGCATGCACTACAATACAGTACAGTGCAAAAAGAAAATGTTTGCATCCTCTGCACATTTGGCCAAATTTCATTACAGTATACAGTACCATTGCAGTTTCTTGGTCTCCTGACACAAGACTATAGCTATATCTCTAGGCAGTCATTTCTCAGTTCTGCAAAAATGCAGTACACATAAAAAATGGTTACAAATAAAATTTGACAGTCTCACGCTTGAAGGTGTAGGCCTACAACATATGCTACGGTTTACTGTGCATATTGTAGGGTTTTTTCAGCTCTAAAAAGGGAAATATTTATGACTAATTATAACTGGTTATGATCAATAATAAATATTTAGATTATATCTTCGAATTAACTGTAGCAGAATCAATATTACAATTATTTGATCTGTCCGTCCACCGAGCAGACAATATAATCATTTATCAATTCAAGGAACTATTATTTTCCTGGCCAAGGAAGAATAAACTGTCCTTCTTTGTGCGGTGCTAGCAGTAATTTAGGAAAATGTAGCAAGGGTTCACACATTCATTGACTTCGAATTGTGAG